CTCCGAAATATACCTCTGCTAATCTAGAGGAACGAGGTGATCGACCAAAGGATGGTAGTTATGAACTACACAAAGACACTTGGAGCAAGGGGTCTCTTGATAAAGATTATCAATTTTACCAAAGATTTTCTACACCCAAGCCACATTCTGAATTACCGGAAACCAAGGCTACGACAACTCCAACAAGTGTTACATGGAGCTTCACAAAAGACAGTAGTCCACTGGCTAGTGTATACCAAAGTAGGGGACCCGAGGTAACGCCGAACCAAAGCAGCAGTAGTGAACAGTTTGGGAAGACTGTGATGAAACCGGCTACATTTGATGGAAATGGTTCGTGGATAGACTATAGGGCGCATTTTGAAGCATGCAGTAACATTAACATGTGGAACCCGAGACAGAAGGGACTGTACCTTGCTGCATCCTTACGGGGACAAGCCCAGACGGTATTGGGTAATATGCGACCAGATAATGCATGTGCATATCGGGATCTATGTGAGGCGCTGGAGTCAAGGTTTGCCCCAGCCAACCAGACCGAACTGTACAGAGCAATGTTACGGGAGAAGCGTCAAAAACCAAAGGAAACCTTGCCTGAGCTAGGTGAGAGCATACGAAGGTTGACTCATTTAGCATACCCCACAGCTCCATGTGAGGTGACTGAAATGATAGCAAAAGATCAGTTTGTTGACGCTCTCACTGATTTTGACATGAGGTTAAGAATTCAGCAATCGAGACCCAAATCACTTAACGAGGCCATACGACTTGCAGTAGAAATTGAGGCATTTTGTAGGGCTGAGCGTCAAAGGAGACAAGAAGCTGGATTTGCCAGGGGAGCATTAGTAGAAAAAGCTACGATGAAAGAACCAGAGAGCAATATACGGGGTGATTTAGAGGAACTGAGAGAAGAACTGAGAACATCTCTGAAGGAGATAGAGCGTAAAATGGAGGCATTGGCTGATGCCAAATTAAAAGAAAAGAACTCTTATGACAAGCAGAAAATTCCTCCCTCTGCAAGTAATTTTCCATATAAGTGTCACAACTGCGGAAAAAGAGGACACCAAGCAAAGAACTGTTTTGCAAAGAACAAGGTGGCTGGTGACCAAGGTAAGAACCAAGTACAGAGGTCTTCAGCAAGCAATAGCGTAAAACAAACTGAAAGGACGAATAAAGATGTCCAGGGTACCAAAGGAGCTACAAGTTCCCTCACACAAACCCGAATGGATATACAAGCCGGTCTTTTTGTGAATGCACTTGTGAATAAGGTACCATGTAATTTCTTGGTAGACACGGGAGCCACCTTAACAATAATTTCAGATGCTATTTACAAAAAGATTGCCAAAGAAGACAGAAATGAACTTATTCCCGTTACCCAGAACATCATTCTTGCCGATGGAGCTATGCTAAAGGTAAAAGGCAAATGCAATCTGCACATAAGTCTCGGAACCTGTGAATTTCACTTTGAGGTAATGGTTGCCGATATAAGTGCAGAAGGTATCCTTGGTTTGGATTTCTTCAAGCGGAATAAATGCTTGGTAGATGTTACATCTACCAAGATGTATATTGGAGACACCGAACATGAACTTTTGTTAAAAGGGCACATAGGATGTTTCCGTGTGAGTATCAAGGAAACTGTTTCTATACCTCCAAGAAGTGAATTGGTCTGTCCAGGTCAATTGTTACTTCCACCTGATACGGAATACTCTGAACCGTTAGTCATTGAAGCCAGTGAGAAGTTTAAGAAATCTGGTAAGGCCTTGGTTGCGAGATCCCTCGTGAATCCTAAAGAGGAGGTGATGTTGAGGTTAATGAATTTGTCCAGTGATCCCAAGACTGTGTACAAGAATACCGTTGTGGGGACAACAGCACCTGTTGCAAATGTGATCGAGAACAAAGAGCTCAACTGTAATATTGACACTGTCGAGGATACCAATGCTATTCCGGATCACTTAAAGGAATTGTTCTTGGAAACAAAACAAGAGTTAGACCCAGACCAAGCAGAGAAGGTGGGGAACCTTCTCATTAGGTTCCAAAACATCTTCTCGAAAACAAAAGATGACTTTGGCCGTACTTCAGTCGCGAAACATAAGATCAACACGGAGAACACAAAACCTACAAAACAACCTCCTCGTAGATTGCCTCACCATGCTGCTGAATTCGTAGACAAGGAGGTAGAAAACATGATAGAAAAGGGAATAGTAGAACCTTCGTCAAGCCCTTGGGCTGCAGGTGTAGTACTTGTTGAAAAGAAGGATGGAACAAAAAGGTTTTGTGTGGATTACAGATCCCTGAACAGCAAAACGGTAAAGGATGCATATCCTTTACCGAGGATTGATGACTCGTTAGACCGTTTGCGGGGAGCCACCTGGTTTTGCACCCTTGATCTCCACTCCGGCTATTGGCAAGTCGAGATGGAAGAAAGTGACAAGCCAAAAACAGCATTTGCTACTCGCAACGGACTGTATCAATTTACTGTTATGCCATTTGGCCTCTGTAACAGTCCGGCAACATTCGAGAGACTTATGGAAACAGTATTATCAGGTCTCAATTACAAGATATGCTTGGTCTACATCGACGATATCATTGTATTTGGACACACGTTTGAGGAAACCCTAGTTAATTTAGAACAGGTGTTTGTCAAATTGAGAGATGCAGGTTTAAAGCTAAAGGGAAAGAAATGCTCTTTTTTTAAGAAAGAAGTGTTATTCCTGGGATATAAAGTGTCGGGGAAAGGAGTACAGACGGACCCACAGAAGATTTCAGTCATATCCAAGTGGCCAGTTCCCCTGAATGCTAGCGAAGTAAGATCCTTTACAGGGTTATGTAGTTACTACAGAAGATTTATAAAAGGGTTTTCTTCCATTGCTAAGCCTCTGTTTAAACTGACTGAGAAAGGTAGAGAGTTTAAGTGGACCACTGAATGCCAAACTGCATTTGAAACATTGAAGCTTTGCTTGACTACAGCACCTATACTATGTCACCCTGACTTTTCCTTACCATTCGTTTTAGACACTGATGCCAGTCAGTACGGGTTGGGCGCTGTTTTGTCACAAGAGATAGATGGACATCTAAGGGTAATAGCGTATGCCAGCAGAACGCTATCCAAGACCGAACGGCGGTACTGTGTAACACGCAAAGAACTCTTAGGGGTGGTGTTTGCCGCTAAACATTTCCGACACTACTTGTATGGACACAAGGTGATTGTTCGAACGGATCACAGTGCCCTAAAATGGCTCCTTAGCTTCAAGGATCCCCAAGGCCAGGTAGCTAGATGGATAGAACTCCTCAATACATATGACATGGAAATAAAACACAGGCCTGGTGCTAAGCACGGGAATGCAGATAGTCTTAGTCGGTTACCCTGCCGTCAGTGCGGATTTACAGAAGACTGGGATAAAGAGGCGATTCAAGAGGAACCGACTACTCCCGGTGCTGAGTGTGAAGTTATTGCAATGATTGATTCTGTTTCCAGTGATTTGAATACTCTTCAGGACAATGACGAGGACTTGTCACAAGTCAAAAACTGGGTGAATGATAGTAAACGTCCAGAATATTCTGATATCAAGCATAAAAGTAAGGTGCTTAAATCCCTTTGGTCACAGTGGAACAACCTTGAAATTAAGGATGGTGTTCTTTGTAGAAAATGGATAACTGATAAAAAGATGTATCACCAAGTAATTGTTCCTTTATCAGAAAGAAGAGAGATTCTAGAGCTATGTCATGATGCCAGAACCTCGGGACATCTTGGAGTCCATAAGACTCTAGAAAAAGTGAGAGATCGGTTTTATTGGACGGGATTGCAAAGTGACGTAAGGAGTTATGTGACAGGTTGTCCACAGTGCAGAAAGAGAAAGAATCGCTCAGCAGGAAAATCCTACATGCAAGTTGACCAAACCGGATCTCCCTTATAGCGTATAGCAACGGATATAATGGGTCCATTGCCAGAGACGGACAGAGGCAACAAATATATACTTGCCATCGCAGACTACTTCACTAAGTGGACGGAGGCGTATCCAATGAAGAACATGGAAGCCCAGACCGTAGCCGAAGTACTAGTGGAGCAGTTTATTTCCAGATTTGGAGTGCCAGAAGTCATACATAGCGATCAAGGACGGCAATATGAGAGTAGACTGTTTAAGGATATTTGTAGCTTACTGGGTATTCGGAAAACACGAACAACCGCCTTTCATCCCAAGTCAGATGGGATGGTTGAGAGATTTAATAAAACTTTAGCTACAATGTTAACTGCCTATGTCTCAGATCATCAAACTGACTGGGACGAACACTTGCCTTACGTACTAATGGCGTATCGCTCAGCTATTCACGAGAGTACAGGGTATACACCTAACATGCTAATGTTGGGAAGGGAAGTTTCCACTCCCTTGGACATTATGTATGGTTTACCCAGAGATAAAGAAAACATGAGTGTTCATGAATATGTGTGGAAGTTACATGACATTATGGAAGAAGCCCATCGATCCACTCGAGAAATTACAAATCAAGCTATGCTAAGGCAGAAACGGTACCATGATAAGAATGTGGTCCCTAAACACTTTGAAATTGGTAACAAAGTGTTAGTATTTATCCCTCAAAGAATTGTAGGAAAGTCTCCAAAGCTTATGAGCTTTTGGTATGGTCCTTATGAAATTATAGAGAAGCACACAGATCTTACATATAAAGTTAAGCGAGAGGGTGAAAAGAAAACAATGGTGGTTCATATAGATAGGCTGAGACCATATAAGTCGCAAAACCTCAGTCTAGAGACAGAAAGTGAAAATGAGTGCCTTCCGGTGGGTGGGGGTGAAAATACAAGTGTAGAAGATATTGGTAGTGAAAAGGGAGACGATGTTCAATATGTACCAAATACAGAGTTGAATGAAATAGAAATAGAATATACAAGTCGAAGACAGCGAAAAAGGCCAAATTGGCACTCAGATTATCAGTTTGACTATAATTTGTAAATGATAATGTGTTATATGTTTTTTTTCCAGATCTTTGACCACGAAATGCCTTTGACAAAAGTAACTCCAAGGAAACCAGGGTTCCTGTGTTCCATTTGTCTTCACAGACTTCCATCGCATGAAGAGTGGAGAGAACATCTCATCACCTGTGCCTCTGAGGACATGAAGAAAAGACAATACGAGTGTGGCCTTTGTGATAAAGCCTTTGCAAAACCGTCACTACTCGCCCGACATCAAAAGAGAGTACACACTACACCACCAGCAAACACATCGGCGACTGTTACTAGCTGTGTGGCTGCCGTAAGTGAAGAAACGGACGATGACCTGGCATGGCAGCAGGATCCAGGAGAACTCATCTTTGATCCCGACCTTGAATCTGGAAGAACCATTAGAAAAGCAACAACACCTTCCTTACCTGGAATGAAGAGAAAAATTGTGGAAGAGAGTCCAGTCCCCAACACATCTACAGAAAGTATTTTGGATAAAGACAAGTCTGAGGATTCAAGTGCAGCTTCGCTACCATTCCATTGTCCCTGTTGCAAGACTCTGAGTTCTAAGAGCGATGTGGGTGTACAAACTGATGGAGGCAGTCACAAGAAAACGGTAAGGGTCATCAGAAGATACCAGAAAGACGGAGAAAGCATTGAGAAGTTCGAGGAAGAAGTTTGGAACGCATGAGAACATGAGAAAAATGAAAACAGTGTTTGAAACAGTTTTGTGTACATATTGCTCAATAAGATACAAGAAGTATTTTTAATTTAATTTAAGGAAAGATATTCCCCCTTGTTAAAACACTGTATCCATGTATATATCTAACTTTGTATGCTTGTCTACTAATAAGAAAAGTAAAAAAAAAAAAGTTTAAGTTTGTTGATCATTTGCCATGCGAGACGCATGCTCATGGAGGCGTGGGTAGTGTAATGGGTAGCGTATTTGGCCATGCCTACTATAGTCGAATCAGAGGGGATATTGGAAAGTGGACTCTTCCAATAGGCTGATCACCCCTCTGAGTAAATAGAATGCTCCAAAGGTATATAAATGAGACGCTCGCAGCTGCAAGGCATTATTCTGACGGAATCAGTTGTAGTGATCAGAAGAAGAAAACTGAAGAATAAAGCGCAAGGTAATAAAGGCATTATTTGAGAAATAAAAGAGCAAAGGTTAGAAGCAGTAGTGGAAAGAGAACAGTCTAGAGGAATTGTGGTGAGGTACCAGGGCGAAGTAATTCTGCATAAGGGTGAAAGAACCTGGTGCTTCACATTACAATAGGAACTCTGGCTGTTCCAGGAACACAGTGCAGGTTACCTTGCTTATGAACCACGGCCTACCACTTCAATTAATTGTACATAGTTCCAATCCATAATAACTCAAATAGAGTAAGAGGAAAAACATATATATTGATAAAGACCCCTTGTCTCTTGTAGAACCTAGTAGGTTTACACGTTACAGTACATATGTATTTTTGTTTATTTATGCAATGTGCAATAAGTTTATTCAGTGTTGATAAAAAAAAATGTTTGATTCCTAAAGGTCTACGTCAAAAAAAAAAAAGATTTATTGCTGTTTGCTTTTTTAAAATATATTCTTTATATTAAATACAAATAAACATTTACTGACATGAAATTTAAAAAACACTTTGAAACACAATGATTTAATACAAAATCTCGCATTTACACGACTCATAACGGTATGAGTTGATTTTATTCGAGATTAACACGTGTTTCCGCTGTAGCCGTAAACAACAACAGGCTGCTGAACAGCATGGATTTTCATGATTTATCTTACGATGGAGAATAGAGAACACGTCAATTCATCAGATATGACGGGTCTTTTCTTTGGCATTAGATGTGAGTAAGTATTGATTGAAAAGTTTAAAAGTACTGTAGAGTACATTGACTGAAATGAAAAGACATTATAGCACAGGAGTCGCAGTTTTATCTTTGGCATTAGATGTGAGTAAGTATTGATTGAAAAGTTTAAAAGTACAGTAGAGTACATTGACTGAAATGAAAAGACATTATAGCACAGGAGTCGGCAGTTTTATCAATAATCCAGTGAAAACGCTCGCGAAGCTTATAGGTTATGTTTTCACTGGTTTATTGATAAAACTGCCGACTCCTGTGATTATAGACAACCAAGGACCTACAGTATATATACTATAGTAGTAGACTGGACCCTGGCTACACATGTACATGTGATATGAAGCCGTTCGCTGGTTTGACATCGTCGGTAACCCAAAATGATACTTTTCGGTTCTTTCAAAAAACTCTCACAAAAATTCTTTTTTTTCCGATGATAAAATTGTTTACAATACGATGTCACTGTTTTCTCAATATGGAATCTGAATACTGTGTTGACTGATCAACAAAATATTTTTGTTCGATGTACTCCGTCCCCTCCGATCCACAATTTTCAAGATGGGAGGTAGGTTGTGAATTTTCGTGAGGTTAACACTGCTGAAAAATTGATAACTGTCATGAAATCACAGATTTCTTGGCAGTACACATTTGACATGTTTGTTAACTACACAAGTTTATTGTTATAAAAACTTTCAGTCAAAAAGCATCCTATAGAAATTATACATCTTTACTTTAAAATGAAACAATTTTAGTAAATTTAAAAAGAAAAAATAAAGTTTACAGTGCTGAAAAAATTATTGGCGCGGATAAGTATGATTGCTTCTCATTGTGTGAAACAGTTACCAATCGGTTATCCTGTTGGCCATAACTGACCTCCTTTATAATTTCATTCAAGAAATAATTGTGTGGTCACTCATTAATAGCCCCCAAACTTTAAAAAAATTGAGTACAAAGTCTCTCAAGGAGACACAATTTGGTGAGTGATTTTTACATGCATTGTATTCAGAAGAGTTCAAAGTTTAATATTTCCACTGCAACAAGGTGCGACTTTTTGCACATGCTGAAAAAATAAATCATTTGAGAGAAAATTGTGATAAAATAGCTTAATTAAGCTATTCTGAATAGCTTAATAAAGCTATATAGCTAAATCAAGCTATAAAGCTTAATCAAGACTTTGTGCCGGACCTGTCAGAGTACATCAAACAAATCAATTTTTGTATTGTGGGCCTGAACATCCAAACCGTGTTTTGAGATGATGGATTCGAATAAGTTTGACTTATTTTTGTGTTGTTTTTGAAGTGGCATGGTAAGTTTTCTTGACCACCTCTAAGTACATTCAAAGAAAAATGAAACATGACATAATTAACACAAACACATAATTTTTTTTTAGCACGTGTAGTGCGCTGGTACCATGTAGGCTTCAGAACTTTCATCTATGAAGACCCACTTGCTAATGGCCACCATGCACAGAAAAGACCATGATGTGGAGGACATATGTGCTTAGTTATTAGTAAGTCAATTTTATTGCAGTCAAAATTTCTCATTGCCACTGGACGGCTATTAGTCAACACTCCCAGGTACATGAGTAGCTGGACTGGCGCAGTGGTTAAAGCCTCTGCCCTATAGTCACGAAGTAAGGAACTGATCCTTACATCGCATGTTCGAATCTTAATTTACTATGAAACATGGAGACCTGTTCTTTTGATGAGACACTATAATAATATCTTATCTTATATTATACTTACATAACCCAATTAAGGTCCCTTGTCGCAGTAGGTGCTGGCATGAAAAAGATCCCTCACAGCTCAATAGCTGTAAGTGCCGAGTATAGGACAAAATTTGCATCTGTCCACCGACAAGTGGTGGCATCTCCATCTGAGAGAGAAATTCTTGAGAGAGACATTTAATAACATACAAACAAGCCCATATATATAAACACCTTGTCCCAGGGATTTTTCTCTGAAGTAATAGTTTTCAGTCCAACATGCCCTTTCTCTTAACAACCCTGACAACAGAAACTAAAAAAGGATACTTCAAGAATTTGATAAAATAATGGTAAATTATGCTATTTTTTAAAATTTATAATTGATTAACCTTGATTGTTTAGTATAAAGCTTGCAATATTTCAGTAATAATACATTGACTTCCCCAAACCATTTAACTACAAGTATGACAAAATATGACATACATAATATAATATATATATGCTTTATAAAGACTTTTTAACAATGTTATATCAATTTGCCAATTGTAGATTTCTGTATAAACTGAATTATCTGATAAAAACTACATATTCGATTATAAAAGCTTTTTCAAAACTTTTTTTTAAAATTTGTTACAGAAGTCAGGACAGAATACATTTAGAAACTGATCATGCCTTGGTCAAATCAAAGGAGTTCCCTCAGTCTTTCAGAGAGATGGCAGAGAGTTCATTCAACATGAAGATGATGTGCACATAATGTAATCTGGAATCTAAAGTTAGAGATAAAAACCTGCAAACTTACTAGCAAATAAGCCTATTAGCTTGTTAATTATTCTTTGCCGGACACTTCACTTTTAGGAATGCTCTTTATTTCTATCAATGATGCAAGTGGTTATTAAAGATCATGTCATGTGATATAAGGAATTCTGACTTTTGACAGCATAAGACAAGGGTTTGTGAGAAGAGTAGCAAATACTAAAGAAATCCTTAGATACTGAAATTCAGTCATTGTATGCCACATAAACTGGATGAGTGAAAGATTGTATCTGAAGTTCTGTGCTTGTCCATCTTTGCTGTTTTTTCATATGCTTATAAAATGACAAAAGTTGTTTTAACAAGTGACCCAGTAAAGACTTGAAAATGTAAAAAAATTCTTGTAAGAAAAGAAAAATTGTAAATGTTTTTTTATACAATGTATTCTAGATGACAAAGAATGTGTTTGATTAAGTTTTTGAAAATGACAAAATAAATTCTCTTTTGTGTAATTAAAAAATGATAATGGTTGCAATACATGTTTACCTTAATATGATTTTAATAGTATTTGTCACTAAGATTGAAATACTTGAGAACATATTTTACAAATTTTGTTCCAGTTTACTTAAGTCGGAGATATATTTTTTGAATGACAACCAAGATTTGAAAAAAAAAGAAAAAACAGATTAATTAAAACAAAACTATTCACTTTTGTTGATTTTGTTGTTTACAATTTTATGTGTCAGTTATTGGACAATATGTCCACAATAATTGCAGCATTTCAAATTTGATATATACATACAATTTAAGGCAGATTTCTGTACTGATATGACCTTGACCCCCAAAGAACAGAAATTTCAGGGTCAATACTTAAGACAATTATTTGTTGGATGTTTTATACATTATTTTTTTACCTTATATCTTACAAACGATACCATGGAAAACTGTCTAGAATAAGAAGTTAGAAACCTATAAAGCCAGAAAATTGAATATTGTTGTTGCCTAGCAACCATTTAAAGGTCATTTAACACAAATTTGAACAAAAATAATATGTGGATATTGCAATACAGTATGATGCCTCCTAAAGAGTAAATTCAGAATTTTCTTCTTTAGCATCCATTGTTACAAATTTTAGCAAGAAAGATGAAAAGATTTGGGAAAAAAATTTAAAATTATGCACTTATTTGACCTTTGACCTCCAAAAAAATGAATCTGATGAGGTCAAACTTTCGGACAATTATCTGATGTATAATATTTCAGTATCATTACCCTACATGTGACTTTACAATGTAATGGAATGCATAAATCTGTGTGGGATGAGCAAAAAACAAGAAATACTGCCTGAAAATTGAAAAATACTCCATTGCTTAGCAACCTCTTTAAAGTCATTATTTGCAGAATTGAAAAAAAAAGTTTATGTGATTAATGTAGTACAGGATAATGCCCTATTGTGGGTTTATTCTGAATTTCCTATTTCAATGTGTATCACTGTTAATTTTTAACTTGAAAATTAAAATGTGTCAAAAAATTCAATAAAATTCTGCACTTATTTGACCTTTGACCTCAATTTCCACTAGCAAGGTCAGTCGTGAGGTACCTAAATAGTTATGAAATATCATCTCCAGAAAATTCCCTACAAAATGGTATACATTATACCTAGATTACTCTTTGAATAAAAAAGTTACAAATTGATTTATAAGGATATGTCAAAAGGTTTGCAAAAACGCTGAAAATGTGCCGGTAGAGAAAGGGTTACAGAAACTTTACAAAAATTCTGTGTTTTTAAATATCTCTTTTCTACAAGTAGGACTTGATCAGGGAAAACCAAAAAGTATTTTTACTTCCTGATTAGGTGGCGTTAACTTGAACTGGCAGCAGTATTTTTGCTGTTCGTGCATTTTCTTCTTTTGCATGGACAACTTTTACATTTACGCCGGGGTTTTGTCATAACTATTGTCATAATTATATTACAGTTTAGACTCCAAGGAATACCTCGAGTACATTTACATTTTAAATACCTTTTTCATTGTGTTTGTAAACACAATTTACCTTCAATCTATGTTCTGCCTCTGTGCAGAGAGTTTACCATTAACAAAACAATAAAGGCGGATCAGTCACTTTTTTTGTGTAGGTCCTTGTATGTGCATGTGTATGGTAACAGACTGAAAATAATAAAGAGACAAATCAGTGATACCCAATTAACCTTATTTTACATTGAAAGAAACCAATTATAAACAAACAAGAATAATATCCAAATTTAGTGAACATTTTTCAAATTTAAATTCAATTATAGACTGGCCTATCATAAAAAATTAAAATTCACGCTAAGTAACATGTAGGTTATTTATCATATAAACTGAGGAAAAATATTACGTTTACATTCATAGCAGATTTTTACTTAACCATTTACTTTCTAATACACATCGAAATCTATTAACCTATCTGATCAAAGGTAATCTGTAAAATATAACAGAATATTATACATAAAAACTTACTTATGGTGCAGGGATGTATCCACAAGAACGAATAATATCTTAAAACAATGCTTGGAACAAGCAAAACAACCAAACTGGCCTCCTATCCCCATGTAGGAACAACATGAAACATTCTAAAGAGCAAACCGTAAAGGGTTACATACCCGGAATAATGATAATAATGCAAAAAGAAAGATAACCCTTGCGAGATATAAATTGTGAAACACTTCAATCTCTTTCTTGATCAAATGATTTATATATTCATATAATACTTCTATCTAGAGTTACTGTTTATATCTGAATTATATTATCTGGAAAGAGGGTGAAGTGAAAGAAAGATTATGAATTCTATATTATATTATTTAGATTGAAGAAAGATATCATTTCTGTATTATTATTTAGAGATAGAAGGATATGGAAATAACGAACAGTATTCATTCTCAACGCCCATTAAACAATATACATAAGAGCAGAGCAAACACGGACCTCCGAAACATCAGAGGTGGGATCAGGTGCCGGGGGAGAGAAAGATTATCATTAAGGCACCTGATTAAATTCAGGTAACCTATTGCTATCCGTTGTCCATCGTCGTGCGCTGTGTGTTAACACTTGAATATTTTCAGCTTCTCTGAAACCGCTCAACCAATTTTGGCACAAAGTATCTATGGGTGAAAGATAACAAAAATTTTGAATTTCATGGTCCCATTCCCCATGGGCCTGAGGGTTGTGACCAAAACCACTAAAATTTATGCAATCCTTAAAATTTTTCTTGACATCAAGCAACCAAACTGTTGACATAATTGCATCGAGACCTCGACCCAAATTGTAAAATCTCCCTAGGGGATGGCCTGACTCTCTGACAGCCTTTTGAGCCCCCAAACAACCCCCGCAGGTACGATAAGGCTTCCCAGGAGATATTGCAGTGTACTCTGTGCATGCACGTCTCTGAACTACAAATGTATGGCGTTGTAATTGAAATACATGAAAGATGGGGAGAGTGTCTTAATCTTTACATCTTATTTCAATCAGCATATAAAGATGCAAAATGCTAGGTATCTTCCCCCTTTATAATGTAAAATTATATAAAAATATATACAAGTTAGAAGGTCAGAGAGAGAAAGAGAGTTCGGAAAGAAACTGAAACATATGGCAAAAGAATCTTGTAGGAAACATGTAGGAAACGTGGACCTTGAAAAAGAAGCAAAACAGTACGCGTCTAATCGTAAACAATGACATTAATATGTATGGTTTACAAAGAATTTGAGTAAAGAACTGATCAGAAAAATGAAAGCATATAATTTAAAATGGGTCATAAATCTGTCTTACATTGTACATCGAAAGAATTAACCTCTTCATTGCCAACTGAACGGTGATTATGATTAGGGGAGCTTAATTGAGAAAAAAAGTTTTTATTAGCTTATTGTTTATGAGTTCGTCAGGACTATTAAAGATAAGAAGGTGTGCATAAGTCAACATACCTGTTATCTGTTCTGCCGTCATTACCGATTGAACAGTAATTTCTTTCTGCACTAGGAATGGAAAAGACTGTTCTTGTTTATTTTCATCCTACATGTAAAATTATAATACCGAAAATTAAATTTCATTTAAATCATTTCAACAATAATAAAATTATTGGGGATAAAATGACTCTGAACATTGTTTACAATAATGAAAAGAAGACCTACAATGTCTTATAATACATAGATAGAAACTCCGTTGGTGTAGGCCTTGGTGCGTGAGGAGATTCACTAGTGAGCGTGGCTTTCGTCGTTTTGATAGTACATGTGGGTTTTTCCTCAACTGAAGCAGTACCATGGGTCCCAAGAGGACATTTATATAGAAGCTGTTATTTCGATACAGTTCAGGATATGGGTGGGCCTCAGTAGACCTGCCTTCAACAAAATCTTTAGAACATAATCTGTCGTGACGAAAGGGGTCTAGCATACAGCGTCTAAGTCCAACCATTTCTTACGGTTTATGGGTGTTTTAAGAGGGAAATGCGAAGAATTCGACATCGGCCATAAGTCATATCTACTGCTTTTCCGAGAGTTAGATGTACAGCCTTCAACAACGCAGTAGTAGTGAAGCATATCGAAGCAGACAACTAATCCGAACCCATTTGCACACCTCAAAGTCCAACAAATTATTGATGAGCTAGATGAACGCAGCTTAAATATTTTGGACACGAAAAAAGAGAGCGTTTCTAAACAATGAGCGGAACACTTGGAGGGAATACAAAGACCACCTGCCCTCTTCTGTACAAGTATGGATAGTCAAAATCCCAGAAAAGATCTAAATCTACGAAAGTATGAAATGTTAATGTGCGAGCGACTTTATGTTATCTCAAACAAGGTCACCAACTTAATTACAGAGCTTGCTTACCATTTATCAAACAAATCAATACAGAAAGAATGAGATATTTAGCAATACCACAATTGGAGATAGAAATCAAATCAGGGGGTTAGACGCCATATTGTAAGCCATTAAGTTAACAATTCTTTACTTATTATCCCATTATCCAAATAATTAT